CCCCCACATAAGCAATCTTTTCTAATGAAGAACAAATTTCTGAATCCCACTTAAAATTTCATGGGATTTGTCAGTCACTATAATTCGCGGGTATTCCATTTTGCAGCAGCCAACGCCCCTTTAGCAAGTCTATTTACCTAAAACCAGACTGTTTGCACGCAGAAATTGCAAAGAGCTTGTCGGTCGTTCAAAAACTGCAATAGTTCCGTCAAACGGATCACGGACTTTTTAAAAAAGAATTGGACAAGCATTAATGAAGGAATGCCTTTGGGAAGGAAAACTCCGCTTCTGATCGGCCGCCAGTATTCATAGAAACGCGCAACTCTCTTTCATCCTGTCACATGCCGCAAACAAACTTTGACGCAGTAATGTCTCTCCTGTCCCCTTAATGCATTAGACAGAAATAGAGTGAAATTTGACGCAGCGCATTTTCAGGGTTGGAAAAGGTGGTCGAAATCAAAGTTAAAAAGCAGCTCTGCTCGAGAAATCACCATCTCCGACCCACCATTAAAAGCAGACAACTTTTACATCATAAATTAACTAAGGTATGTATTAAAGTTTACTCCAAATACTGTAGGCAGAATGGCATTACAGACAAAAACAAGGGAGATTGGAATGACCGTTTCTGGCTTATTAGTCGTCGTCAGCCTGTCATACCCAATCCCGAAGTGTGAAACACCCGAGGCTCGAATTCGCGACCTGTTTGTTAGAAGTCCACGCCTCTAAGCCTCGGGTGTTCCACACTGCGGGGTTGTGTATGACTGGCTGACGACGTCTAATAAGCCAGAAATGGCCATTCCAGCCTCGCTTTTCTTTGTCAGTAATAAAATTCTGCCTATATCATGCGCCGCTGTGTGGCTGCGGAATGGGTCTGAGAGAGAGCCCCTAAGGCACAACGGAACGAGTGCTTTCCGTGCGCAACGATCGGTGAGCGCCCCCTACCATTCCGGATACTGTCTTGAAAACATTTCAATCTCGGCTAGCGACACTGATACCTATCAGCCCTCTTATGTGTCAAATAATTATCGATCAGATTGGAGATCTGATCGCAAACTGGCTTACGTCTGACAACTTTCTTACACGCGCAGTTTAAGCAACATAAAGGGATTTGCGTAGGACATATTTCTCGAAGATGGGCGTCAATCGCAAATAAAAACTGGCGAATACTGGAGACCGTGTTGTGTGAACACAACATTTAATTTTGAAGGAACGACTGGGCAGTTTTCCCGGTTGCTCATTATCTAGGAGGAAATCACACCTTTTGTTCTGCCGTCGAGTCCATTGTTTGGTTGGATATTTCACAACTTCATCAACCGATGATTTCGGGAGGCGCATCTTTTTACTGTTTCCTCCTCTACAAAAGTACTTCTGCTCCATGAATGCTATGGAAGAGCGCAATTTGGGCATCTGACTTAATAATTGATGTAATTCACTAGAGATATACGGGTAATCAACAATTAATTAATCAGTAGAGTCCCAATGTGCTTATCTAAACTGCGATTGGTTGGATGTGGTCGCACGTTCCCGCTCACTGCGAAAAAGGCCACAACATTTCGTAAAACAGAATGTTAGTTTCCGGTTAAATTCAGTTGAAATGTTTCGAGTTAGGTATTGTTGTAGTTCTCTAAATAGTACGGAGCCTCGGGAAACAGATGATAAATCACAAGGGGCCTAATCATGGTCGTATATAAGATAGAATAGGGAACAACAAACGGCCTGTAAGGAGTCCAAAATCAGATACGCGATGCACTGCTCAATTGATATTTACAGTTTAGGAGCTTCAGTCATATTACTTGTACAAAATACCCGAGAGACCCTGAAAAATTGTCTATTAAGCCCCATACAACAACAAAGTCTAGTAAACATAAAGGTAGGATAGTCAGTTGCACTTTTCATCTACACTGCTAGAGGTGACAGCAGCGAAACCATAATAAACCGGTGAATAAACCGAGAAACTGCATTCTACCTAAATTGCGGCAGTAAACTTGAACAGCGTTTCGGACATCGGCCAACTATCGATTCAAGTACATGACCAAGTGAAATTACGTTCATGAAAATTGTTATTTGAAACAATTCTCTAACATACCATAACTCCCAAGAGCTTCGAGTCAAATGAGCAACTAGTTACTAAAATGGTTTCCGGGGCTTTGTTTAAATGAAGGCTAGATGCGCTGCTCTCACTGACGTGAAGCCAACACACAGACATTCCGACTTCATTACTCTATGTTTTTTGGGCAACGGTATTAAGTACTAAAGGTCTAGAGCCGCCCCTTTGATGAATGACATCAAAAGAACTTTAGTCGAAACTTATTCAACCTGCAAATTAGTTGTAAGAAAAACATTCCTTTTTCCGAGCTCTGTTAAAGTTATAAAAAAGATAGGATTTACTGGAATCCCCAAGTATTATGGCCTTCCACTGAGTTACGGTAAACAAATATCTGACAAAAGGAACAATATGAAATGAGAATAACTCACTCAAGCGTAATAGCATAAAGTCACAGTTAACTGACTACGTTAGACCAATCAAGGGCGGTTAGGGAGTGATGACGGGAGGGGAGGGGCATGAGGAAATGACAGCGTAAGATACATGTTCGCTGGACCACCACCACAACTGAATGTTCACCTTGATATCAAAGTTAATTAAGTAACGTACCTTCCTCCAGTGTTATGGCTTCCCTCTGCATACATAAATGGAAACTGAGTAGCCTTTGTGCGTGTGTGCTTGTACTTGTATTTGTATCGACATCCCCTCCTGAAGTTACGAACCCACTTAGTGGTAGTTAACGCAGGCAGGGTATATTCATTAAGTCTGTCCGGGCAGGGGGACTGATACAGTCTAAGGACACAATGCCGTGCTACGAGTGTTTCGTTAAGGCCTATAAGAAATGCGAGCACCCCGGAATGGCAGGCCAATGTTGGCATGTCTCAACTGATCCATTTCGCATCTCATGTAGCAAAGCGCTTGATTCATGACTTCTCGGCAAGACACGGAGACATGAAAACCTCATTTTACAGTTTACCATGTGCTAAATTCTAGCGCAAGTGGGATTGAGATTAGAGCTAGAAAAGTCAGAGTTGGAGGTTCTTCTTAGGGACAGGTGAGTTAAACATAGTGTTACAGTTGGATTCGCAACTTGGTTCACAGGAATAGATACTTCTGCAGGGGTTTAGCGGAAGACCATCTGTATTGTGAGAGGTCCACATTCGTGTGTCCAATCGACGTTTCATGTATCAATAGACCCACGCGGACGCGAAGGAATATAGAGTTGGAGGCGCTTTGTGCTTATAGTCGTTAGGCCCATTCTTGACTAACAGAACCGTAGAACCAGACATCGTCTCTCAGAGGGATGAAATGAAAGGACACCCAGACTAATCTTCGCCTAATCAGGCTTGTAGTACTTTAGCAAAACAGCTCCATTCACTGGCAAGGAAGCATCCATTTGCAGATTAAGTAGCTTTTTATTCTTTCCGGCAAAGCTACTTATTATATTACCCGCAAAAGAAACAGAAAATTTATTTGGTATCTTTGTAATGTCAACACGAATCCATCGTCATAAAAAATTGAAAGACAAAACTTAGGAAGGTTATTCAAAATGCGATCCAGCATTAGCAGGAAAGGAGGCACGTCGACAATCAACGAATTCAAATAGCAAATTTCATAATCATTGGACGGAGAGACATGCTGTTCCCTGAGAAAGGATTTTTTTATAGACATCGGCGCTGAGATTGCAGTTCTACTGCCCTATTCCGCCAATTAATTATCGTAAACAGTAGTCTTCTGTCTTCGTCTCTGTATAATGCCTCGTAGTTATGTGCTCAGAAGTAAGCGTGCTGAAAGTATAGGCATATAACGAGCGCTGGCATCTAATCAGAAAATTTCAAATAACGTTTGTAAATTACACTCCGTACAGAGGAGGGGGGGCTTTTTTGGCAAAAAACATTACGTTGTTCGGAAAATTACAAAGATAGACGACATTCCTATATGGATTTTATAGGATTGTATCGATAGCTTCTAAATTTTTTTCATATCATCGGAGGTTTGTGGTTTTCGTGAAACTCACTTTATATGAAAAAACTATAGCTGAAATTATGCGTAGTATGATGCTTAATACATCCGCATAAAGTCTTCATTTAATTAGAGGGCTTTTACATGAACATCAAATTGGGAGTTGTGATTCATGCTTAAACCGTTGCAAATCAGGTTGTGCACGAGCACAGAAGTTAAAAAGTTGGATTAAGATGACAGGAAGCCTGCGCAATGTCTAATGAGTACAAGTTTTAAGTGTCACGATCCATCCTTTTCACTTACGCAGTTCTTTTTCAATTCAAATGTTTCGCTGTAGATTTTATTTTACCCGCACAAGACAGGCGGATTTCCGCTTCAAAACTCGTAAATAGAATGGAAGACAGCTAGGTCGGCCTACATTTTGGTGCCGTTGTAAAATTGTCATCCTCTATGCCGTATGAATGTAGACCAAGGTAGCGAATACCCTTCTAGGACGCTAAAAGATTATAAATTTAACCTCGAATCTAATTAAACGCGAAAACGTTTGATACAGAGCAAATTAAAACAGGTAGTGATATGAATTTGATAAAGGAAGACTCATTAAAAAATTAACATGGGTCGTCAAAAGGCAAGCACATTGTCGATTTTAATGATTTCCAACCGACCATTCGTCAGTCTTCAAGACCACGAGTCCATTTTTGGCTCTCTGATGACAAACCCCAGCGGGCTGAACACCGGCACATGAAATACGAGCAGGAAAAATAGGACTTCAGTTTAGTGCTATTGCTATTTTAAGTGATTGAGGAATATAGTTCAGAATTTTTCTTAAGTCAAGATCAGATTAATGTGGGCTATTCGCAGAGGCAAAAAACCCAAACGTGTGTCAATTTAGGTGACCTTCTCACACGCCCATCTCTCAGCCAACCGGTTGCTTGGCCCTCTGATTGGCCATGCAACAGCAATAAATGGTTAGAAGGTTGGCATTTCAACAGAAATGTTGCGACAAGCATCGGCCAGAACGTCTTCCGGCAGCATCACCGGTTTTAATGGGGAGAGAAGACGTTCCGTTCTGCCCACTCAAAGTCAGTTTAAGTCATGTGTGCAAAGCGATGCGCGCGCCGATGAAGAGGAGGCAACTCTGCTTCCAGCTACCCTACGACGTGCCAGCTTGGCGGCCCATAACCTACGGCGCATCTCTAGTGTCTTTAAAAACGAGGGCCCTCGAGAGTTCCTAAGAGCCGCCCTCGGAGATCCCAACAGGGAGTACTATAAGAAGCTGGCCGGTGAAAATGAGGAACTCACCACTGAATGGAAACGTCTGAAGGGCTACCTGAAAACACTGGCTGACGACTACGAGAGCTGCAAGGCTGTGGACCCCTTAAGACGATATAGGCTCCTTAGAGCCATGGTGAAACGCATTGTCTTACATATGCAGATCACCGACCCACTCCCCAGTGTTCAGGCTGTTTTGCCGGCTGGGGATCAGCTAATCTGCGGGTCCGTTCTCCGGAGTTCGGTTCGAATGCAGGAAATAAAACAAAAACACCAAAAAATGTGCAATTGTGAGTGGCTTTTTGCTCTCTTATGTTATAAGTAAGACGCCTTTGCAGTTTTGAAGAAGATTGTTTAAATCTTTCACTTTATAGTTGGGTGTTGGCCTACATAGACATTCTTACTGAGGCGGCCCACATAATGAAAGCAATTGACATAGTTGTGGAACATCTGAGCAGTCCCCTAAAATTAAGTAAATTCTGCAGAAGGATGATCTTGGATCGCCGGAGAGGAAGGCACATTCCTCTTGTATCCGAATACAGATTCGAGTTAATTATTAGAGAAAAATTCCTTTACCAGTTCATACCACATCGAAACTCCTCTTTCCATTAATCACTTCTCAGGGGATCCGGATGGCTTGGGGCTGCGCATATGTTCGAGAGGCTTGTCCAGGCAAAGGACCAATATTTAGACAAAGCGCCACCTACCGTGGCCAAAACAATTCCTTCCTTTATTTTGAACTCGGATAAAAGTCTAAATTCCAAAATACGCCAACATAGCAAAGTAACTTAGGATGCAGGTATTAATAGAATACGGATTTTCATCTGCATCTGTCAGTCTATTTGTATTTTTGCTCTGATCCTCTTTTTGACACTTCGGGCTTCGCAAGAAAATTTTAAAAATTGGATCTCCTACTTCGCTTTTTGCAGAACCGGAAACATTTTTGTAAGATAATTAATTCAACTCAGAAGTTTCTTAAAGATATAAAGGGATATTTGAACAGCAATTTACCCTTTGTTTCACTGCATATGACATATTTACTGGAATTAGAATAAACGCAAAACAAAAGGCTGATTCCGAAATGTATTACGAAAAAGCGTGCTCCTATAGCCTCTGTACAATTACATTCGGCAAACTCGATTGAGTACGCATAAAAGAACAAGCCCTAGGAGATTATGGGTCTAATCTTAGGCTATAAGCTTAGGGTATGCAGAAGGCCATACAATAAACCAGCCTCAATTTTAGGATTTTCGAATGAAATATGCTTACGAATGGTTACTTCAACTGTCCATCGGATATTGTTTTAGTGCGCATAATCGACTGATGATGAGATAATCTAGGATATTATCAGTTTTAATTTTTTTCCATTGTGGCATTATGTTGTTTCCACTATCTCACAATAAACAGGACGAACACCGAATTATTTGTAATCGATTTTCAGTTAATGTTGCAAAAATAGAGGGTACAAATCTGTGCATTCAGCAAAAGCGGAACCAAGAGCACTCTGTCTTACACAAGAAATTGCATTTGAAGTGCAGCGAATGGAAAATAACAACATCTTCACTTGAATGAACATTTTGTTGATGCATTTAATAAGCATTCTTTTCTTCCCGTTTGATAGTTCATCTTCCTTCTCCAAACACTGTCAGAAATTGCTTGATGTAGTTTTAAAAGATAACTTGCCGCAATTATTGCAAAAAATGTCACGCCATCCCAATCCAGCATGGGCAAAAGTCTTACTAACCAACGTGGTCAAAATAGGGAGCTTGATGATTAAATGTTAGTTGGTCAATGGGTTAAGAGAAAAATGTGCAGATCCATGAGAATTCAGGGGATGGTTTGAAGGAGGCTTTGCCCTCAAGAGGACAAAAGTTCGATTATGCGACACCGATTGTCCGAGCCTATTTATGTAACATTTTGGCTACCAAAGGTCGGAAGATCCACGGTACGGCTCTGGACTGTTTTTCACTCTCTTATCATTTGACAAGTGTACCGTTTTAGTTTTCTTCACAACTCTATTAGGCTCTAAAACCAGTCAATGCTAGCCCTAGTGATGTTGGAAGGGACAGGGTAATAACTTTTTCCCGAGTTAATGCCCGTCTGGCAACAGCGGAATGAAGATGGTTACATAAGACCTTCGGGATTCAAAAAGTAATGCACTTTACGGATGCCTGTATTCTAGATACCCATTCATTGTAGTATGAGGTTGACAAAAAATACCGTTGGTTGGGTTCACTCGCCTCAGCCTTCGGACCCGTCCATCCTCAAAAATTTACGGTCACCTGAGGTTGGATTGCGTCTTTTAAGTTCGCTGTTTGGCGTTTAGTCTTCAGCAGAGCCTCCGTTTTATCTGCTTGTTGGTGGGCGACTTGATTTCCATGTTTTTAACACCTCACTGGACATAGCCTTGGGCGTGGCTGGTCAGATAATCGGCGTAAGGACGACATCGAAGGTGTGAATTTGTTCTAGCAAACAACGTGCGATAACAGGTCTCCCGATTAGGCTGTCACTTAAATTCCCGCGTCTTTCCCATTCAAATGCCCAGCCTGGCTTGTGTAGGTTCAGTGGCACTCATGACGAGGGATACGATAGCCAACGCTTGGTCGGTCACGTGGACTGGCTATCCTCGTTTGACATTGCAGGCCTGCAGTGAGGATGACTTCCAGATAACTTCTCGAGATTTGACCTGACCACCACTTGGCCCCATTGGCGCTCAGGTAACCACTCCAGTGTGCTGAAGAACAACTCGGAAGATGGGAGAAATCTGAAATTTTGTCCTAGATCCCATGCCCTATCCCGAGTAATATTCTTAAAGACGTACACAGATCTTACGTCGAGCTACATCCGTGCCACCATATAACAATTCTCTCTACTGTTTGGAAATAGAACTTTTAAGAGACAGTAAAACTTCAGAAGAAATTGTCTCCCTTTAGAAACCTGAATCGTTTTTTAAACGTTCTTTTAGTATGACAGCCCACGGCCGATAATTCGAGTTAACGAATGTCGCACCAAATAAGCCTGGGGGCGGATATAAGTTTTTGCGACACTAGTGCCTACGTCAGTTAATTCGGTAAAAACCCCATGGACAGTGCAGTTAGTTATTGTTTGATGTACAGGAATAACCCCATATCATTGAGCGTTCAAAGGGAATTAGGAACTTTTCGCCCTAGCAACTGCTTGTTGATTCAGTAAGTGACTCTTGATAGTTCGTGTTATAACATCAAAAATTTCCTTTGACATGGAATAAAGACACTACAAGGGTTTGCTTCGCAGCATTCGCCTCCTGAACAAACTTAGCTTGTACCGCAGAGTCGCTTTTGGAGGCATATCCAGTTGCAGGGAGGTTTGCACAATCACAGTTCAGATCTGCTAATATGACTTCTAAAAATCGATAAAACATCCGGTTCTTCTAAAAGACTTTTGTGTTAACAAGTTAATTCCCACGATTGGCATCGAAAAAAATAAATGTTAGGTCAAAAACATCTGTTTTGAAAACCCTGGTGGGTAAGTTACTCTCCTTTCATAGAAAAACCCCCTCACATGCGCAACCGAAGTCTAGGGCAAGTATTAGCATAGGAAATTGTCCGAGTATATCGCGATGACCATTTTCGCACAAATTTATGGACATTTTGCCCGAAAAAATGCGTTGACACAATTTCTGCACAAGAAAGGGACATTTCCTTGAAGAGGCTGGATGGACAAGCAAAATGCTCCACTTTTAAGATGTTCGAAAAGTTTCACATCACTTTCTGTTATCAGGTTTTATGAGATAGGTTATGTACCGTATTCACATATGCGTCCTCAGATCGTTTAACCTCTTCGCCAGACGGATTTCTGCAGGGAATGCCGAGTAGCATTGGGCAAGCCTCCTCCGCGGAAATTTCACTGATGTGAAAATGTCGACCAAGTCTCTCTTTCTGACCGATGACCATATAAGAATAAACTGCCATAGAAAATTCGCTAGTGTTTCTGTTCTTCCCCACTGCTCCGGCAGTTTGCCTGCACAAATATTCTTAGGCGCCTTCTTCTTAGCAGAGATCAGCTTCACTGGTTTAAAGGTAAATATCAAATCAAGTCCTCTGCTGTCTACACTTTTCCTATTTTGCTGTCAATGGAATTACCCACCATCTACCCATCTGTTGTTAGGTTCAATTTGCAGAAGCGGAAGGAAAGAGGGTCAAGAAATTAAAATTAGTAGAGCGAGAAGGATCTCTTATCTAGAACTGGACAATCATTCAGATGGAGAATCCTTCCTTTGCGTGGTTCAATACAGGAATAAATTCTGAGTCCACAATTTCAAAACTCCGCTGTTCCTCTCAAAGACTCGGGACCATCTATAACAGACAGCAACCTTAGTAAATTACCAGATTAGGTATTATATTTCCATCTTGAGGCGAAAAATTTCTACGGCTGGATAGGGAGGAAGAAGGTTGGCTCAGCTCTAAATGCCGCTGTTGCGGTATATTACCGTGGAAACGGCAGACAGCATTGGCGACGTAAACCGCGCGTACTGATCCTGGTTTTTATTGGCCATACTGCGGTCCCTGAGGGATCAGAAATTTTAGGCGATTTGATCAGCAGTTGACGGTTGACCGGACCGACAGGCCAGAATTTTCTTTTAAGCAGTTCCGTGCACAGAAAGGTCATTCTGGGGTACGGAACTGTGAATGAATACAAGGAGACACATTGCGTCAATCCGCCGGTTTCATTAGCCCCTCCCCATGTGTGTGTGTGTGTGTACGACATTTTCACGCCTGTGAGATGTACGCCGCCCAACCCTCTTGTGTGAAATCTTGATGTCTGTTTGGGAAGCCAAGTTGTGCATGTGGTGCGCGCAGACAAAGTAACCAGATATGCCGTCTACCACGCCCATCCCCCGCAACTGTCAACTGACCAGCTCGGACAGTGACTGGGACCTGGATATGGAAATGAAGAGTGAGATCGTCTACTCAGCGCATTTATAAACAATCTGACGCGCCTGAAGCTATCACGGTACTCTAAAAGCCGTTGCTTGGAAGGAAGCCAACTGACGGGACAACTTGGACCTCACAGTCGGCCCACCGTTGTGTGTTTGTGTAGAGCCGCCGACTGGTAACCTAAGATTCAGGCTGCAATGGCTCCCGCCCAGTGTGGACTTTATGGCACTCCCACACTATGGGATTCGAGCGAGGTCTGTCGGCAAGCCTAGATGCAGCTCCGGCCGTGCCTGTCACCCTTATGTTGTCGTTGGTGAAAAATCTTGATAATTAGTTGTGTGGACCAAGGGGTGTGGAGTGGAACGCCAAGGTGCGTGCTCGACCATGCCGTCCACCTGTGCCCTCCCCCGCCTCCGGTTTTCTTGACTTCCTTGACACCGGGTCCAGGTGGGAGAGGAGGAGAGAGTGCGGTTCATGCTACGTAAGTCTCCACTCACTATAAACTAATTCACGTACAAGTCACCGTCCCTGTTTCATCTTGCTGTGGAGCACACGGTGGACATCGTCGGCAGCGACGATCATGTGTGTGTACGTGTGTGGAAGATAAGTGGTCCTGTCCTGTTGCCTCTGAAGGCGAGCCTCGAGACAGAGCGAGACCCAGAATTTTACTATGCACGGCAAAAACGTCCTCCACCCCCAAAAGCTGACGGGCTACAATGCGCGCAGGCTGGAGTGCCGTCGTGGAACTGTGCAGGACAAAACCGTTTTACTCGTAATTTGTTCGACACCTAAATTTCTACGAAAAAGAGACCAGCGAAGTATGGAAAGACTTCTCCTGAGGTAGAGACTGGCCGTTCGGAGTTCATAGATCTAACAGCCGCTGGTAAAGTTTTTATCATCACCAGGCCTGCTAGTCGGCCTTCGTTCTATCAGGTTGCCTCAGGATTTATCACCTCTGAGCTTATAGAATGTGCATGATACTTGACATAGTCAGATAGGATCTTATCACTACGCCTTAACAGATGGAGGAATTTGTCCTTGATTACATTTCCTGTATTGCAAAATATCGTAACCATTAGGCTTTTATTTGAGTGTGTCCGAAGGCAGTCTGACATAAGAGTTTAAAAATACGAACATTTCAATAGGTTCAAACAAAAAAGTAGATGGTAATTTTAGTAGTTAAAAGGATGCCACGATTTTCGCAATTCAAAGTCGCGCCCGACCATGAGACCGCTGACCATAGGAAGTAGGCTAAACACTGAGTTTGTTCATATTGGGGGTTGTCGATTGCCAAGTCTCTGGAGGTAATTGTCTCATGTCTTTTAAATTCATCTGTACGTACCCAGAGAGAGTATTGCTTCAAAATATGCCCGTTATAGATGGCGCGATTGGAGATTCCCTGTCACTTAGAACACTTGTCAGGACTTACTGACTTAAACAGTCGTGAAGCATCCCATTAACTATCTGAAAAGTTACCACTACCACCAAATTGGAGGGTTTTGCCAACTTTCCAGTTAGTTATCTTCAGTGTGAACCCCTGTCAACGTGATAAAGGAGAAGACCGCGTTTTACTGACTAAAATCTTATTGCAAAGTGAAATTTAACAAAGAGTCGAGATTGTTACCTGGACAGAATTAAAAAAAATAAAATTACTGTCAGTTTACTTATACTTTGTGCGAGGAGGTTGGATGCAAACAACGAGATGTGCATTATATTTGGCTCAAAAGTATGCAAAAACGAAGGTGTTTTCCTTCATAACTCCGTTTAGCGTGAGCGTATTCATAAAGGAAAAGGGTCAGTTAAAACTGTAGCTATTTAGAGTAACCAAGTTATGTTCATATTTTCACACAAACAAAGTGTTCAAGCTCTGGCTAAATGGCTTTCTTAAACCGTCTGTATACATTTTCGCAGTTTTATTTTTAAAGCATCTTAGCTGACGCAGGTTGGTCGAAATAAACGAAATAAAGTCCTAGTCAAGAAACCGAGTTGCTGGTTAGCGCAATAAAAGTGTTGTTCTCGAAAAGTCTTGTCCACTATAACACTGTCGACCGCATACGACAATGAGTTTTGCATAGAACGTGGACTGTCCCACTTGATTCCTTGCGTGCATATTAAAACTGTGTTATTGTTCTAGGTAGGGAAATAAAGCGAACTGCCTCTCCGTAAGTTTTTTAGTTTGTGTACTAATAACGGCCACATACGTCATGGTATATGCGCAGTTTGTCTTTATTGTTAGTCCTCTGATCCGACTCAATGTTTTCGCGTTGGTGGGTGCGGTGGAAGTTCATTTTAAAACGTAACATAATAGTCTTTTCTTTGGTTCGTTTTATCGCCATATAATGTCTATAAGATGTCATCTATCACGGCCGTCATTGCGCTAGCAGTACATACAGACGGAAAACTAAAACTGATAAATTTCTAAACAGTTTAGCATGTAACAATGGCAATGATGTTGACGAAAACGTATGGGCCAAAAAGTGAGCACTGAAATTTCAATGTTGTTTAGAACGTTGTATTTTATTAAGACAGATTAACAGAGTGCATTAGTAAAATTCTCAAGGCAAACTAGGTTGCAACTGACTGACAATGATAAAAGCCTTCACTCGCAAAACAACACAAAAAGGTAAACGTCTACTTTCGGAAGGCAGTAGAAGATAAGACTTGATTTATAATACGTTCTCGCTGGTGATAAATTTTATAGAATAATTGAATTTGTGCAGCTTCATTTAAGTGACTAGACCTCATACTTACATGAGACAGGAGAAAGATTCATTACAATTGCCAAGAAACTTCTTTATAAATTGGTTCCGGCCGCAAGTTGAATTTTCAAAGAAAGACTTTACACATGCTTTTGTCGTGATTTTTGCATGGATTCCAGTTCGGAGCTTAGGGATAAGAACCATGCTAACAATCACTTCAAAATCGTGAAGGTCTCCAATCTGACTAAACAGTAGATTAGCTGGCTACGCGTTCGACTCTTTTTACCTTTTCAAAACTACTTTTAAATGCAATTTGTCATTCACTCATTCCCTAAACCTCGCTTATACAGTAATTAAATTGGCTATAATTCAACGTAATCACAGGTTAGCGAGGCAATCTGGACTTTTGTGCAAGAGTTGGACAAGCTAATCTGTCTTTTTAGCAAGACAAATCCTATGTTTGCCCCAGACTTTTAACTATTTGAGTGCTTAGGCTAATGGTAAGTCAAGACGTCGTGATGTAGAGCTCATCAGTAATCGCAGGCGAATTGTGAAAGAAGTAGTTTTAGATCCCAAATTCCGTCTTAAGACTCTTTATGTGGTACTTTAGCTGAGGGTTCCTATTTATCAATAAAATGCGCCAAATCTATCAATATGGAGATATAAGCGAATTTAAACACAAACTGCGCAAATATAAAGCAGTTAAGCGTTTGTCCCAAATTACTGTACATTTTGCCTTGCCTCTACCTCCTGGCGGTTGTTCGGCAATTATTAGTTTCCTGGGCAATGTTGCATGGATCTCCTGAATACCTATGAAATATGCGTCCTTATCTGCTAGGGTACAATGCAAATTTGCAGGTAATCATAGCCCATCCTTTCCGTTAAGTGCTTCATTGTGTGCTCGAAATGGGAATTACGTAGTGTATCTTGCTAAGTGAGTAGGTTGTTTGTCTTCAAATCAAGTTATGAGGGAGTTCATTTGTCCTGTACCAACAGTTTTTTGATCTGAGACTACTACCGGTCTGGCATTTGAGTTCGTTAACAGATAATAATGTTTTGCGTGACGATCCCGTCTAAAGATTATGTATGCGGATAAAAAAGACTTCGGAAATTCTCACATAAAAAGTGGAATGTAAGAAATTCCCACTAAATGGACGTAGATCGATTCATCTCGAATACAAAAACCAGACTGGGAGTATTGAGGAGTCGAGACACAATGATCAGCTTTTTAGGAACTCTGACATGACAGTTTTTGAACTGGCTGTCGTCTTCAACCAACAATACGCGATGCCTAGGTCGTTTTATTGGTGTCTGAACCCACTCAATTGACCACCAAGTTCTCCTTAAATAGACCATCCCTAACACGTGTTACGGCTCAGCGTACTTTTTGTCTGATTTGGAATGCAACAAAAATCACCCAAGGGTAGTATTCGTCGATCTACTCTAGTTGCAATATGGAACTCAGATAACTGTTCAGGGCGATCGACTTGAAATTCCTAATAACCCATCATAAGCGGATTTTGAACTTGGATGAAACAGCATCCGGCGTGGAGACTTCGGTTGCATATAACTGGGATATCGGTTACAAATAACAATACAAACTGTTTTTAGTCTCCTTTGGCGACATTCTCACCAGTGGCATCTTATGACTGATACACACAATTCGTTGAGCCTCAAATAAATACCCATCTGTGATTGCCTGTGATAAACTTAATCCTTGGCGCGTGCGAACCATTAGGAAAAATTGCTTTTAAAAATATTACCTCCGTTAGAAAAAAATATTTAAAAAATTGATAAAAACAGATGGACGCGTCTTAACAGGCATTCGACTTGAATAAAGTTTAGGAGTTTCGAGTGACATACGAAACAGTTCAAATCCAATTTTTTGCAACTGCCTTTGGCTTGATATTCGTTCAAACGTTTTTTGCGAATTGTAATCTCCCATAACCACCAATAAAGAAGAACATAAAAATCTACTTGTCTTTTAACTTTGTCAGAAGTCATTTACTTAATCAAAATGTCCATAATTTGCCCAAAACATTTTTTCCATACAACAATAAGCGGGCTTATGTTCAGAAGCTCTTCATGTTTGCGATGAGGGTTATTTACTTCCCCCTAAAGTACTATGCCCTCATATGCGTCTACGTTTCTCACTAGAAAACACGTAAATATTTCCAAAGAAATAAGTCTCCATCGCCCCGAAAACTCTTGCGATGTGCCGAAACACCAGCCCTCGATTATGCTGAGCCAGCCATCGACCTTCTTCGAAATTAACTTTTATCATGCATGTCCAATTTCTAAGAAAACGACGTCTTTTGAGAGCACCTACAGGGGCTAAAGCTTTCTAAAAGTGTTAGGGTATGATGAAAACCGGAATTCACGCTTGGGATTCTATGTAGTAATGCTGTGGGTGCGCAGGCACTGAGAGTTGGCGTGAGGTTTTGAGAACAGACCCAAGGTTGCTTACCACCTTTTATTCTGCAGCCCCAAAATAGCAATTTATTTTTGAAAGACTAGGTGTGACACAGGAATATAAAGTTAGAGTGGTCTTATGCTAAAGTCCTGGACATTCCTATTCTCGTGTCCTAAATTTATCCTTTTCATGAGTTATTATACATAGTCTTGTAAATTTCACACAGATTTTCGTATCAGAGAATATTATTTTTAAAATATGACTAATGACATTGACTATTGGCAGTTAGCTGGCAAAAAGTGGTATCTTGTTCCTTGCAAAATTCATTCTTCGTAACAAACAAACTTTTAAGATACACGCATATGAATTAGGAAGAGTCTCCATCAATTCCTGTATACTGTCGTAAAAGACCTCTGATACAGCTGAAAGCATCGGAAAGGCTATTAAATCCCAATATTCAACAAGTCAGTTGGCGTAGTTTATAATTATCTAAATGTAATTAAGGTGAGAAATTCTCAACAAACTTTAAAAATACGACATTAGCAGGTCAATCGAAACGAATAATTTTCATTCAGTTAAACTCCAAACTAACAGTTTAAAACATATCTTGGCTGAAAGCGCAAGCCCTTTTCCATAGAAAACAAAGGGAGTCCTACCAGGTGAACTGACCCCACAGGTTTTCCGAAATCACAATCCTTCCAAACAAATCAGAGAAACGACTCATGCTTGAATGTAATAAGGTAAGCGATATTGCCTAATTATGTCTGTTTTCAAATTGATCGAATTTACGGGAAAATGGCAAAAAAATTAAAAAAAAATAACTGTAGGACTGACTTAAGTGGCCCCTAAGCAGGACATGGAGACAGGAACCGCATGCAATGCGGGCGAACTTGAGTCAACCTGCCGAGAGTGTAGGGTAAGTTTTAGGCTAGGGTTAGGGTCAGGCTAGGGATAAGATTTAAGAGAAGATTCATAATTAATGGTAAGTTACGTTAGGATCAATTTGAGGTGTCAAGGTAAAGGCTAGTTTTAACTGCAGAGTTAGGGTTTAAGGTAGGGTTAGGGTCAAGGTTAGGGCATCAAGTTAGTGTTATAGTGGGGTTACTGTTGGGGTTAAGACATGGGAATATTTTGACTTTTCTGGAATTAAGCTCAGGTCTACCTTCACTACTTAGGCGGGGCGTACCTATTTCTACGTTCAGCATGACGGCCCGGATAAGGCAGTTCCACCAAATTTACGATTATATAGCGCAAGGTTAAGAAAGCTTAATTTTCTGTCAGCCGGCTCTTCGTGCAGGCCTGTCAGGCCCATCCGGTGCTTGCCTACGCGCATTGTCGCCTATCGTCTGTACACACTTCCACGTGTTCACCCACTGTCACGCGCTTATTTACTTGCAATCATTTTGGATCAAATCAACTTGTCTAGCCGACTGCAGTTATTCTCTAGCTGTAAAACTCCTGCTCAATCGATCGACCTTACCTGAAGTGCTTGCGCTCAGACACGACTGGCAGAAGAACTCGAGATTTAAAAAAAACAATAACTGCAATACACAGTGCAGACTGCTACCGTTTCCTTGTCAAATAACGTGAGATTCAGCTCAGTTCCTTGGATTTGGTTGAAACGTGGTTTTTGTAACCAAAGCTTAGAAGATAGAGGAGGCATAAACACTCAAAAGAAATCTGCGGACGCTTTTCAAATAATTTGCATTTTTCGGGACTTTGCTCACTGCTTTCAAACGCATGTGGCAATAGCTCATATGGAAAACGTAGTAATGCTCAATTTCTGCTATACCTTAACCTTTTATCTAGGAAACTATCCTCTTTTGGAGTGATCTGGCGACCCAGGCCTTAAAGTGCCATGACGAAAGCGGGCTGCAAAATATTGCTTTCATAAATTTCATCAGCTCAAGAAATCCTCATCAACAACGTTGGGAAGCAAAGAGCCGGATCACAACAGAAGAAGACGCCAATTAAAGAAAAGTGTCCTTTTAGATTTCTAGAGATCCCCGAAAGTTGGTTAAGGCTCTCATTACAAAACTTTGGTTTGTCCTTAAAGGATTTCCCGAGTCACGCTTGGTTCAAAGAACCTCACTTGCGCTTCCTTTCTCCTTTTAGTCAACGCATTTTGGAAAAACGTCACGAAATTCTGTGGTGAAAGTAGTATAAAAATCTAGATGCAAACTATCTGGAAAGCCTTTATTAAGCACGTACTGTCCGCCTGAAGAAATCTATGACATAGCGGGTTTTTCGGCCTCAAATGATAAACATTTGGTCTAGCTACTGGCAGGAGTCTCCCAAATCGCCTCTTTCTGAGCTCAAATAAAAATAACTGTGGGCAAATCTTTGTATAATGAGGTAACTCGCTCATGGAATTTATGCAGCATCATACTAATGTCTTGAATGCAGCTTACGCTAAGCAGTCGACATCCTTTTTAAAACGCCCATCTGTCTAATGATAGTTTTGATACTGGATCTTTCCAAAAGATGAGTCGATAGGGCGAGTATCTACATACGCATATTCGCCTGCGTGGTGGTGGCTACTCAATAACATCGATGGGACCCCGACGGGTCTTTAATAAAATATTATCAAAGTTCACATATATAGAGGAACACAAAACAAGCGAAAATCTCGACTCCAGTTGCAAAATGATAATCACGAATGAAGGCATACGATCAGGGCGTATTTCACCTCCAAAATAAAAACTGAAGGGACAATGTTGAAGAATCTTTTTTTTTGCATGAAAACACCTCTGCTGTCCCCTACTGTCAACCTGAAGCCAGAGAAGTCCAATACATCCTACATCAGCCCTGCAAACGTGACGCTGGAGCCCTCAGTTTGAAACTGTCCACCACAGCTCCTATCCTGGTTATGGCCTTAAGTAACAAATGTTGGTCTAGGCTCAGCAACCCTAAGGCGATTTACTTTTGGACACAACTTAACTGATGCCGGCTTATGTGCATTAATAATTAACCTGCGATTGTTTGACAAAATAGGCAACAGACAGAAATAATAGGCCTATACTTCCAGAGAAAAAGGGCGTTCGAAAGTATGCGCACATGCAGACATTGCACTGCAAAATAATGATAAGGTTAACAAAGAGAAATATAAGTTCGAATATGTCCAGACTCGTATAGGAGTATTAGGGATATTTTACCTAACAAAAAGAGTCATTTGTACGGCAAATTGCATATTAAATCCTCCTATAAGTGAAGGGTTTCAGTAAAAGCGGAATTAATAGATGTTTTGGCAGATTTTGAATAATTCATATTGACCCAACTGTGCAAAACCTCTGCGCCTCGGTAGGCTTCATACCCACGACAGCAAAGGGGGAGAGTTTTGTACAACCAACGCACTAACCACCTGAGCTATGAGGCCCCGCCGTAGTTTTTCACGGTTGGGTCAATATGAATTACTTAAAATCTGCCAAAGCATTTGGTTATCACGTGAGCCTAGTAGTCATCTCATGGATTCTATATTGATTGCTTATGAAATCCTGCTTGACCAGTCAGCTTACAGGATCAGATTTGGTGGATTTCAGACGTTTCAGCAGGCTGGGCGGGTAACCTGACCCACACGGGGTTAAACGCACGCCATCCGTTATGTCCTCGATGTCCAGGCGGCTAGAGGGTTGACCTTACCAAGCCCTCCACTTTGCTGTCATGATATTATTTCCGGTTAAGGGGGAGGTTATTTTTTGGTTAAGTTGAGTTACCCTTAGTCACAACTAGCCGTCTAGAACACATTTTCCGAATATATCTTTAAGCTTAAATAAAAGAACGTTCATCACAAGAGCCTTGCACAATGTAAAACTACAGCAGCCAATTTAATCATCCTCAACTGTGATGCTTTTTTGCGGTGAAAGCACTGTTTGCTCTTAATGTTGAGTACTAGGATACCCGACACTTTTCCCTTCCAAATTGGACAGCCCCATTCCTTATATTCTGCGTCAAATGCTGCGAATGTCCAAAATATGACGAGAACCTCGTTTCTTTAATTACGCCTTTAAACTATGGAAAATACAACAAACTGCAATGAGATGTATAGAAAACTCCCGCAATATTTTATTTCGTTCGGAGTTTACTTGTTAGTGAAATGTGATTAGTTCTGAGACTAACTGGACGCCATTTTTACATCAGGCAGCACCGTCGGTCAAAACACTTACACTCTTCTCAGAAATCACAAAACTCTTTTCAAATTTCATAACTGGAAAGAATCAGCCTTTTAAAAATCAGAGTGAACGTAAACACATTTGCCTGCGCATGATTATTTAAGTTTAACGATGATACTTATGTGAAAACTTAAGAAGTCACGTTCGGCAAACGGACAGACGTGAACTAAGCAATCGGTGAAGAAAAGTAGTTTTGAACCAACATTTGTAATTGTTTTAAGTAGATCAGCTCAGTTAAAGATCGAAAACATCACACAGTTTTACAAATACTTGATCATTTTATTCATTTTAGCGACATAATTTCTGTCAGTTTACTTTGCAATGCGCAAAAAATAGAACAAGAAATAACACTTAGATTCATTAACCTTCATAAACGCCTGTTACTTGACGAATCAGATCGCACCTCATTCCACTTCTTGGGTCCAAATGCAGGCACTTGAAATATCCTGCGTTACGAAAGATGGGATTTTTGTCCCCAGAATACAAAAGTCAGGCAGATTGTGAGAGGAACATCATTCCCAAAGAACAAAAAGTGAACTTCGACATCTGCGCAATATTATAATTAGTGCCAACCTTATGAAGTGAATGGAGTTTTTGTTCGGACAAACCGCAGAGCAGACGATTTTTGGCCGAAAATGTAATATGATTTCTCGAAATACGAATGAGGTGACTTGTTATATAGGATTATAACTCCACCTATACTCAGCACAGTTTTAAATTTTCAATTTTACCCAACTATGGATACCTTTGTGGGGTTCTACAGAAAATGAGAGGCCGCTCTCTCTGTCCAGCATTTACAGAATTTAAGATTACC